TTGTTCATCAACACAATCTCCAATAGCATATAACCATGGAACATCAATTGATTGTTCTTGTTTTGTTTTTATTTTAAAACTATTTGTTTTATTAATATGAATACCAATTTTATTCAAATTTAAATCATGAGTACAAGCTTCACGTCCAATAGCAAATAAAACAGTATTACAATCTTCATAAGATTCATAAATTTCACCTGATTCAAGTGTTTGTCGATAATGAAGACGTAATTTTCCTGGTTTTCCTTCTTCTAAACATTCTAAACGTATTGGAATTGTTTGTTGATGAAATTGAATTCCAATAGCTGACATATAATCTCCAATTCTTGTTGCCATTTGTTGATCAAAACCACGAAGAAGTATTGAACGAACAAATATATGAACTTGACGACCAATTCCATGTAAAAATCCTGCACATTCAAGTGCAACATATGATGCACCAACAACTATTGTTTTTCCCGGATCATATTCAAGAGAAAATAAATCATCACTAAAATAGTTTAATTAGAATTCGAAGAAAAAAAAAAATATTTTCTTTGTTATAAAATGTAATTAGACCTTGTAATTCCATATTTTTTATCACCTTCAATATCTGGATATTTAGGTCTTCCTCCAATAGCTACAACAATATTTTTTCCAGTTATTTCTTTAGTTTGACCTTTTTTGTCTGTTAACTAAAAAAATAAAAAAATATTTATATTATTATTAAAAGATAAAAATAAACTTTTAATCGATGTGGTGAAATAAATTGTCCATAAGAATTTTCATAAACAACACTTTTTGAACGAAGATCAGTTCGATATTTAAAATTAAGTGAACGAATATATGATTGAATTGATCCAATCATTTTTGACCAATCATGTTGACGAGCTTTTTTTTTCAAGAGAAAAACAAAAAACATTTTAAATTTCGTTTTGATTAAATAAAAAATGTTGAAACCTTGTTCAAGTTTTGACCAACCATAATCAATTGAATCATTAACATATTCACCAATTAATGATGCTTGATGCATTAATTTTTTTGGAATACACTATTTACAAATATTTATTTTTATTTTCAAATAAATAAAAAATAAAGAAACTTACACCAACATTGACACATGTTCCACCAAGTCCTTAAAATAATAAATTTTATTTCAATTTAAGTTTATCATAAATGTTTTTTTCTTTTCATAACAAACCCCAAGTTGTTCCAATTGGTGTTGGTTTAACAAAATCAAGTACACAAACTTTTTTACCAAGTGATTGAGCTTCCTAAAAAAAAGAAGGAATTTTTCTTGAAAAATTTTTGTTGTTTTTTTATTTTATTTCATAAAAATACTTTTGAACACGCAAGTCCACCAGAACCTCCTCCAATAACAATTAAATCATAATCATATGAATTTAAATGATCATTGTCTGTTTTTTGATGTTTCATTTTCGATTCAGTTGGATTAAGAAGAGCAGCAATTCGACCTGATTTCATTGCTTCAAGGGTCTTATCACAACCACCTATATTAAATAAAATATTTCTTTCCGTTTTTTTCAATAAAAATATTTATTTGAACAAACCTATATGTTCTTTTTTAATAAATATATTAGGAACAGTTTCCTGTTTTGTTTTATTAATTAATTCATTTAGAATTAGTTCACCATTATCTAAAAAAAACAATGAATTTCTATTAAATGAAAAAAATAAAAAAAACTAAAAAATCTCTACCCATTTGATCTAATTCAATTGAATAAAAATCAATATTAGCTGATGTTAATGCTTGTTTTATCTAAAAATAAATTAATAATAAATAAATAAATAATAAATAAAAAAAAAAACTAAACAAACCTTTTTACAAAATGGACACCAGGATTTAGAAAAAATCATAACATTATTATCATTGATATACTTATCAACAAGTTCAGCAATTGACTTTTTGTCTGCGTCTTTTGTAGGTGGCATTACTTTTTCTTCTAAATTAATTTTATTTTTTAATTTAATAATTAAAAAAACTGACATATGAAAAAAAAATGATTGTTTCAAGAAAAACAATATTCAAGATAATATATTCTATCTTGATTACCTAATTGTGAAACAACCTGGTTTATTTATTATCCCGTTTAAATGTTATATAGGAAGAAAAAGAATAAATGACGTTTTACTTTTTCTGCATCGTCATTCATTCGTATGTAAAAAGAATGAACAATAATGTCCTTACCTCACCAATATATTTTGAGGTAGAAGTAAAAAAGATAAATTATACTTTAAAAAAGTGCCCTCTATAACAAAAAAAATAAAAATAAAACAAATCATCAAAGAGGTTATTACTTAACCAATTAAATCATTTTAAATAAAAAGATTTTTTTTTTAAATTCTCTAAACGATTCTATAGAGTGAAAGTAGAATTAGTTGGCTTTTTTCCAATCGAAATCAATGTCAGTTCGAGTTAAAAGAGGTTTCTTATGAAAATTTAATAACTAATGTCGATATGATGAATGATACTTTTTTCACGTCAATTAAATATAGAATTTTTTTAGTTATTATTTTTCAATAATTAATGATTGACTAAGTTTGACAGGTACTCATTACATAATTGTTTATAAACAGTCGATTTAATTCTCGATGATCTAACAAAAGATAAAAATACTTTAATTATATTTCATTGATTTAATCAATTTCAATTTAAAAACAAATCTCTCATCATCTATTGATGCTTTACAGATTTTTTTTCTTCTATTTTTCATGTTCATAGAACAATATATTGTTAGCTGATTATATTTGATTTATTTAAAATCTCTTAATACTTGAAACGATATAAATTGTAACGGAATCCAATTCTAAAATAGTTTTTATTTATTTTTGTCTTTTTTTTTTTGTTCATATATTCAATATTTAATTAGTGATTAGTTCGATTTTATGATTTATTTATTTTTTTATTCTATATATTAAATTAAGGATAGAAGAAGTTTCTCTCTTATGAATTATTTAAATCTGAACAAGTTCAATTATATTTATAATCAATCAATCAATAATAATATTCTTCAAGTCGGATATAGTTTGTATTTGACCAATTTTTTTCGTGTTATTTTTGTTTAACTATGTTATATGTGCGCATGGTATTAGTGATGTCCATCTGACAATTTGATTGAATAAGGAAAGACGCTTTATCAAAATGTTATCAGTCTGTTTTGATGATATCTATAAAGAAAAGAATATATTTCGACTATAATAAACGAACGAGAAAAAAAAAATCTCTAAATAGTTGATATTGCAGAGTGTTGACATTCCATGATAATGTATAATTGATTGATTCGATCAACATCCATAATTATCTTAGAGACACTTACAAACTTTTTGTCTAAAGTAACATTAACCTGATTCGAACTCTTCGTACGATAGAACTAATTGGATATGGGTCATAGGACAAAAAAACGAGAAAGACACTTCATCACTGAGAATTTCTTGAGATAAATTTATCTGATATTAATTTCATTTTTGTTTCCTCAATAAATCATTTAAATTGAGTTACAATTTTTAAATAAATATAAACTTCAGAGTTCTATAAATGAGTAAAATAATTATTTTTAATCCGACTAATTGTTCGATTTGTTATAGTAAATAAAATGACTTAGGGATTTTCAATGAATCATGCAAATTTTATACATTAAATGTAAACAAAATTAAATCAGGAATGAAAACAAATAAGTAAGTTTTCATTTAAATTTGATTTGAATAATAGTCTTACAGAAAAAAGCTCTTCCACATATTCTTTCCTAGTTGCTCGTTTATGTTATTGTTCTCAGCAAGTTACTTATTATTCTATTTCTCCTTTTTGATCACCTTTTCATTGTTTGATCTATTCATAATTACCTATTTATAGATTATTTATTTATGTAAAACAAAAAAGTACAATAGAAAGTAGATTTTATATAATAGAAATGACTAATAAAATTTCGATATTGATGAAGACGAGAAAAATGAGATAATTGACGCTTCAAAGATCGAAACATGATATACTAAGGAAGTCTATCAATATTGGACCAGTGAAAACTGATCGCTATGAAAATTAATCGAAAAAGTTTATAATAAAAATGTAACAGTTATTTAATAAGAGATAAGCAACAAACACTTCTGTGTCTAATAAATAGATGAACTTGAGATTATAACTTCTAAACTATCTTTCTTTACTTTAGTATGTTTGTAACTTATTTCAATCAATTGTTAATTTCGATATTGTTCTTTGTTTTATCGTGCTTAACTATTACTCGATGATAAGAATAATTATTCAATAAAAGATTTTATATTTAGCGTCTTTTAATAAAATAAGATATGATCTAGATTTTGTTCGTACTTATCAAATAGTGATTGAATATATTTCAATTTCTTCTATTTTTTATCATTTCTTTTTTGCCTTTTTTCTTCTCGATAGGTTTGTAATCGAAAGTAAAAAGAAATCGAATAAACCGATCTCAAATCGACTGAAACTACTTTTCAAAAATTCAATTGATTATCGATTCAGTTTCGATCTCTGAACTGAATTAAACAATTTATACCTCGTTTAATATCTGATAAAATCTTAGTGAATTTTCTCTACATAATATAGATATAGACAAAGATAATTATAATATCATATACCGATCCGAAACAATTCAAGCGTATTTTCATTTTTTTTTCATAGAAAAAATGAGTGACCTACTAAATTCTTAAAGAACATGATGTAAATAATCGTCAATACCTAAAAGTTGTGCGCAAATGTAAAAAACAATGCTGACATCACCTATAGTTAGGACGATGACGCATCAGTGAGTGATTAGCTGCGTTGGCATTAAAAGTAAGAATACACAAATACGTGTTTTTTTTCTTGTTCTCCTATATTCATCTTGTGTTCTTTACGTCAAAATAAAGAACTACGTCATTTGTTTTTTTTTCTTCGTTTTTGATTGAAATAGTCACTGTCGTCATTTATTTCTCGTGTTATTATCTAATCATTTATAAAAAAAAAATCGTGAAGTAACGCGATAGAAAATAGTATGGCGGCTAATGAAACTAAAATGATAATAATTACATCGAATGAAGATGTAATTCGTCAATTTTCTTTGAACAAAACACATAATAATACACTTATTATTGATTTGGATAATGAAAAACAAATAAGTTCAATAAGCAAGAATAATAGTATTAATTTATCTGTACTTGCTCAATTATCTGAATTAGTTTGTATTTCTTATTTTAATAAAATTTTTATAAAAAAAAAAATCAATTAATTTTTATATTTAGAATTCAAGTAGTGATCACGTATATAAACGAGTACTTAATTCATCTGATAATAATCGATCAAAACCAGTTAAAATACCGCGAAGATCAACGGATTTAATTTGTACAATTTGTGGTGATCGTGCTGTTGGATTTAATTATGATGCTCTTTCCTGTGCTTCATGTAAAGCTTTTTTTCGTCGAAATGCTCATCAACCTCTGGTTAGATTTATTTTTATATATAATTCACCACTGACCATCATAGAGAGATGTTCATTTAATATTTATAGATATCTACAGAATCTATTCTTTCATTAATAACATCTTATTTTATATATTGAATTAAACTTTTAAGGCTAATTAAACATTTTATGACTGTATGCTTATAGAGAATACCCACACTCGAGCTTTTTTTCCACATAATAAATCTTCTCTTGATTCTAAAATGCGAATATGTTCCTATTTGCAGCCATTATTGTCTCTGCTCTCCTACTGTAGATTCTTCTTTGCGGATATTTTTCCTTAATTTATCCAAAAAAGTATAAGCAATTACGATATAGCCACTAGTATACGGCTATTCTTTATGCATTTTTCTAGTCATTAAGTCTATTGAAAATATTGTCTCATTCATAAAACATTTAATACTTTATCAATTGTTTTCGTTTTTTCAATTTTTAAGATAAAAAAAATGATTTTTTTTACATGTTCAACTCGGAGAAGAATAAGGTGGACGTATTTCTATCATCGAATGATAAATAAAATAATTCTAACAAAATGATTGAATATAAGTAAAAATATATATTGTAAATAGAAGTTTGAAGAACTATAATGTTAACAAAATTCGATCGAAGATTCGAAAATGTTTACTTTGATAGTATTAACTTGTATTGAAGTAGTCGAGAGTATTCTTTCAATATATTTCATTTTGTAGAGTGAATGATACTTCGATAGATTTTTTCTTTTTAAGTATTCGAAAGTTCGATGACGAGCTCCGAATGGCATAATTGATAGTTAGGATTTTTTGTTTTGTTTTAGGAAAAATTATCATGTTTAACAGGTAAAGGTCAATGTACAATAACATATACAATGCGTCGTAAATGTCCACGATGTCGATTAAATCGATGTTTTACTATGGGAATGAGAAAAGATTTTATTCTTAGTGAAGAAGAAAAAGAACGAAGAAAAAAACGTCTTGAAGAAAATCGAAAAATCTCATCAAATCATTTATCAATATCAGAATCGGAAAATTTCTTATCTTCAATAAATAGTTTATCGAATTCCGAATATTCTTCACAAACATTTGATGAACTTGATTATGTGAGTTTTTTTATTATAAATATTTATTGAAATTAAAAATGAAACGAAAGATCTTTTTGTTTTTAATTAAAATAAATAAATTGAATTGATATAATATAATATATTATATTTATAGTTATTAATGGATACGGATAAATTTGATGATAATATTCTTATTAATGAAAATATTGATTTAAATCAAATGAAAGAATTCTCATTGGAAATGTTAACTCTTCAAGATCAATTAACAATTGAACATGTTCAAAAATCATTTATATCATATTTTCAAAATGAAAATTTGTTATGTTTTCCAATAGATGTAAAAGATCATGGAGATGCAATTATATCTTGGTCTCAATCAGCTAATCAAATAGCTTTACGTTTTATTAGTTTTTTTCGTCAAATAGATGAATTTGAAAGTTTAAATGATGATGATCGTTTTATTCTTATTAAATATAATCTTCTTCCACTTTTTCCAATATTTAAATGTTTTATATATAAACCAATGAATTATATTTGTTCAAAAGAAGATAATGATAAATATCAACAATGGTTAATTTCATCTAATCAATCAAATGATATTCGTCATTCATTTACTAAATTAATACTTTCACTTGTTGAAACAACTGAACAAGATCCTGTTTTATTATCACTTTTATTGCCAATATTGATTTTTTCTCATGGTTTATCAATGAATGAAAATGAACCACCATTAAAAGATTCCTTAGCTGTTAATAGAGCTCAAAATTATTATATTCAATTACTTTGGAAATATTGGATTGATAGATGTGGTGAAATCAAAGCTTGGAAACATTTTTCTCAATTACTTACAATTATTTTTCAAATTCAATCAGCAACAAAACAATTTCGAGATTTTCTTCATTATCAATATATGACATCAAATACAATCGAAAAACTTGCACCACTTATGCAAACTGTTCTGCATGTATCTTAGTTTTTAGTTTTAGATTTATTCATTTAATTAACATATTTATTATAAATTAAACTAATTTTATTATTTATCTATTTAAATAAAATAAGAATTTATTTTTAGATTTTAAAATATTTTCTTCTATTTTTTTTAAATTTAACCCTTTCCAGCCTATAGCTAAACCAATCGATGAAATTTCTTTGAGACTTTATATTTTATATGAGCATTAAGCATTGTTGATATTTTCATCAAAACTTTTTAAAAAATCTTTAAACCCATTTTCGATCCATACCCGTACTCCCCTACAGAGATGACGAAGAAGTATATTGGGCGCCTCTGTGGGGAAGTACGGGTATGGCTCAAAATTCGATTGAGAGCTGTCGCCAAATCAACCTTTGGAATATGACTAGGAGCCACTCCTAACTCGCGGACCGTAGAAGGACATTATCCACCCTCCTTCTTTTTATAATAGAAGTGATGTTTCAAAGATCCATCAGGCGTACTACCAGAGTGACTTTATTATAGGGCAATAATCCTTGTATAGATGTATGCATCCAAGTCTCATTTATGTCACAGAAAACCGCACTTCGATATCATCTCGCGTTCACGAGTTAGTCAAAAATTAAGTAATTTGAAAAACCTGTACTATATTCAGTATGGTGGACCTGAAAGGGTTAAGTCATAGTGCAGCAATCAAATAACTTAATTCAACTTTAACTTAATTCGCTTTTTTCAATGTGTTTAACCCCATATGCTAGACGCATAATTCAATCATTCAAAATTATATTTAGCATTTTATAGAAAAAACTAAAAAATAGTCTAAAATAAATAATGGTGATCTTTCAAATATGACTCATAATTATCACATCAATGAGTTTATTATAGCTATTGTTTTAATATAGGTCAGTGCACCAAAGTCTTCTCTTTGTACTAAAGAAAACAGATTTTCGATATCTTTCTACATTTGTGAGTTATTCAGAGATTGTGAAACTTGAAAAAAGTATACTATATTTAGTAGGCTAAGCCTAAAAGAGTTAATGTATAAAAACTCAGATGAAGATCATGTTGGTTTTTCTCAACCAATAAATCGTCTAGGTTTTAAACATTTATCAATTATTTACGTTTTTTTATTCAGATCAGCTTTCGATCAAATTGATTGTGATATGTAATTGATTATTTTAATAGATTTTAACAATTAAATTTAAGAAAAAAAAAGAATTTCTCACACAAATGCTAATCCAATGATTTAAATTCATATTCGAGACTGAGTGCGCCATAAATAATAGTATCATCTATATTTTCTATTTATTTTGGTCAGATTTCTAGATCGAAAACTGCGCTGAGCCTTATCAAAATATTCGTTATTTTATTCTCTAGAAAATCGTACGATAGCTACAGAACTAACCATAAAAATGGCTGGGAGAATTGGACAATACTCAAGCTTCGAAGTTTTGCTCCCTATAGCTCAAATTTTTCAAGAGATATTTATTTGTCGTCTGGAAGTCTTTAAGCATCAATTATTTTATCATATATCGATATTTAGAATGGTCGGACGTTCTTATGAAAGTTTGCAATAACCATTATTTTGGTTAAATATTCTTCAAAATTGGAGAAATTTGATTAAAATTCAATTTTGTATTCAGTGAAAATGAATATTTTCAGTAAATATAAGATTTTTCACTCAATGTAAATAAGCTTGTTACTGTACCATAATATTCTTTGAAAACTTCCGCCCTTGCACATAACAACAAAGAACTGTATCTATTGCTACAATGAGCTTTTTCAACCATGCCTCATCCATCCAAAACAAAATAGGAAAATATTGAAAATTGTTTGGGAAATATCCTCTAGAGAAATTGGTGCATATCAGACAAGTTCAATGTTCTTCGATTCTCTCGGTAAATGTGAAGATTAGATCTAATGTTTTTATTTAATTTTATAGAGAATTGAAGAGTGGATTGTTTGAAATCAACTATTGTTTACTATCTTCAAACGTGAATAAGCTAATAAGAAAATATGAATAGTGACATTGTTTATGATGCATCACTTATGTAAATACAAATTCTCGAAGAGAGACTTTTTTATCCGATATCCATTGTTTCACAACAAATATTTTGTACTAACGGGTGGCACAAAATAAAATGGCCACTTTTGTCGTGTGTTTTTGAGGCACTTTTCAGTGATCTGAGGCTTATTCGATAGAAAATTTTCGGCTCTAGAAAACTCATAATTTTCTTTTTCATTAGAATTATTTCATTGTTTTAAAAAACGATGCAGAATAAGAACAGGTAAAAAGTGAAACTGTGACGGGAGGAACAGGTTATAATTTCTTTTTTTACTGAACCATAATTGATCGTTTAATAACACTTCTGTCACCTATTCATCACAGATATATTGCGTAAAGAATTCGTCTTGATTTGATAAGTCCGTATTGAGAAATAAAATATATCCGAACATTTTGCCACTAACAGTAGATGATCCTAAAATTATGTATTTATTCCTATACCTATTTTTGTCTATATCCAGTATGGTTCGAAGATTTTGTTCTGATTGCAGAAGATAGAAAATTTTCTGCTCTACAAAATTTTCTATATCGCACACTTACGCTGCACCGTTTGGATAGTACTTTCGCTGGTTTTTTTTTGAAAATCTCATGTTGGCCGAAAGCGTCAATTAACTTGTACACCGAAATTTTCACAATTCGGATGAGGTAACACAGATGCAGTGTAATCTGGATGATAGCATTGCTTCTCTCAGTTACAAGATTATTTCTCGAAAAACAATACAAAAGTCGAAAAGTCATCGAAATTTTGATACGAAATCCCAGTTTTACTTTTTACCTGTCCTTATTTTAAACCATTTTTTAAAATAATAAAATAAAATCTCAGGAAAGAAAATAATCAGTTTTCTAGAGCAAAGTAATAGTATAGACAAATTTTTGAATGCTTTTCAAGCAACAAAAAAAAAACTACACGAAATGATAATGAAATTACTCGAACTTATGCTTCTAATATCAAAGTTGATTTTCATAGATTTTATACATACTTAGGTCTGACCAAAAGTTCTGAGAACATTAAATAAAAATCTAAAGATGCAAAGATATTTTTAATTTTATTTTATCAAATGTTTAGGATAGTTACCATTATTATTTATATCAAATTCAATCCTTTCGACACAGTTTGTTAAAAGTTTTTTCTTGAGTCTTTTTCGAAAAAAGTTTTAGGTACCTTGAGTACAGCATGAGCTAATCATATTTCATTTATTTAATCAGTTAAACTACGTTAGATAGAATTAGTTAGCCAAAAATTACATTCTATTAGTCTTGGCGAATATGGTGAATATGACATTATATTGATGCCTTCTTCTCTCATATAATTAATAATATTGGATGAGTATGAAGTCATCGATGATCATCAAGCAATTTTATACATTTTCAACCTGACGTCTCTGATTGTTTTCATATTTCATTAACAAAAGGTTTTGGACAATTTTCAATATAATATTTATGAGCTACAGTCATGCCTTTACCTACACTCAGGATTATTTGATTTAAAGAATATACCAAACAAAGTTTTGATTAAAATCTATCTCCATGAACAACAGTGTTCAACGATTCATCTTCAATAAGTCAGCCTAGCATCAAATGACTTATGACTGATCTATCTAAAATAAATCCATATCCCATCACTAGTAGTGATAGAACACAACTGACATGATCGAACACAATTTTGCCGAATTTTTAAACCAAATGCTCATGCGATATCCAAAGTATCTAAAATTTTTTCGAAAAAGCTGAAGAAAAAACTTTTAACAAATTGTGTCGAAAGGATTGAATTTGATATAAATAATAATGGTAACTATCCTAAACATTTGATAAAATTAAATTAAAAATATCTTTGCATCTTTAGATTTTTATTTAATGTTCTTAGAACTTTTTGGTCAAACCTAAGTATATTAATCGACAATTATGATAAGACATTATGAAAACTTCTGCCACTGATTTGTTGTGCTAACAGACGAATAAATTATATTGTTACAAGTGAGATTTGTATTGTTTATTGTGAAAAAGAACTTTGTGTAAAACAATGTGATTAATTTGAAATTGATAGCATAGGTAAACAAAATATACCTAATATATAACATTATTCCAGTGAAAATGAACTTCTCTTTTCTTCTTATTGTATTTTTAAAGTCATGATTATAAATGAAAAACTAATCACATATGAAAAATCTCCATTATTTGCTCAATTTTATTTGTTAATAAACAAAGTATGCAAACAATAGATCTCAAGTCGGACCATTTTTTCATAGTCCAACCAAGATTTTAGTGAGGAAAGGATCTTTCATGCCCACCGCTTGAACTGGGTGTAGATGTAGGAAGACGAAAGAAAGATCCACACACTCAGAATTTCATGTTGATATAGGAATGGTACAGTTGATAAATTGAAGACACGATAATACAGTAACGTGTCATGAGACATGTTCAATTGAATCAAATTAGATTTGAAGTGAATAGGAAATGCACATTTCGCACATACGAGCATAATCTATATACAAAGAGTAGAAGAGAGACAATACTTAACAGATGATTGATCATTCAGATTTTGAAAAACCGACTAATCAATTCAGTGAAAAAAGCAAATGCATAAAAGTTGTTTTCATGATCTGTGAAATATCTCGAATAAACACGAAATGATATTTATTTATCGACATGAAATTATTTTCGAGTTGTTGAACAAAACAATAAAGATATCATAGTGGACCACATTCTTCTAATTCAATTTCTTTGATATTATAGATTTGACGATCCTTCTTCAGTTCTACATAACGTTGTTGTTTAACTTGAAAGACAGTGAACGGTAGAATAAGTACTTCTTTTTCATCTTCGATGCGACTAATTTTTTCAATGGATAGACTTGATTTTGGATTAATCACTTTATATTTACAGATAACTGGCGGATGAATTTTATGATCAGTACAATCAACAAATAGTTCAGCAATAGATCGATCTTTCGATGTTGAAAGAAATGAACGTGTTAAAACAATATTTCCTGTATTGTATTCTTCAAGATCTTTCTGTGTAATCTTCATTCCACGAAAGGTAATACCGGCATAGTGATATGGACGAAAACGAGAATGATTGAAGCAAATATGTATTGACCAAGACCTTGTGGTGGTTCATTGTCAACATAACCTGAATTGATTAAAGCTTGAGTGCTGACAAAACGAAAATCGGAACCTAATTCGGCTAAATCATGATTTAAAAAATCATGGAATTTAACACTAGGACTCGTATATGTCCATATTAAGCCAAGAGGATCCTCTTCGTCTATCACATATAATAATTCTTCTTTGATCGTTTTTCGATCATTTTCGTTTTTAAACTTAATTCTTTCAATATAGTCATCAACAATTGCCTTGAGAAGTTTATGCAATGCAACTTTTGTCAACCATCGTTTCATGTGTTCATGATTCTCGTATGAGATTCGATAGGCATTTTTATATGAATCAAGCCATTCAACTTCACGTGATGAAGCAACAAAATGGTTCGAATCTGAGATCGTTCGCACAGGATCTTTGAACGCTGCTCTAGTCTCATCATTCGGTGCTAATTCTTCAGGAGTAAATCCCTCATCATTGCGAATTGAACGAGAAGCATGGTATCGTAGTAAAAGTCGGACAAGTTTAGCATGACCATACATTGAAGCAGCATGAAGAGGTGTATTTCCATCGGATCCAGGAGCATCGATTTCCGAACGATTAGCATTCTCTTGAACTGTCTTTAAATCATTATTGCAACAAGCTAAGTAGAAATCAGTTGGTTGTGACGACATTGAGGATGTCATTTTGTGTTGAACGAATACAAATTAGAACTCAGTAGTTCTTTACAGACTCTGTTGATACGAACCTATTGCCAATATTTATAATAGAATTCTAAATGGAAAGATCTCATTTTACAATTAGTTATAGAGAACAAATTGTGATAATGTTGATTAGAGAAAGTAAGTTCACTTCTACATGTATACTAAAATCACCTTTAATATTTAAAATATTTCGTACAAAAAAAAGTACAACTTCCTACATAGTGCACAAGATTTTTCTAATTGACAATAGAAAGGTCATCTTACAACTTGTTTGATGAAAATAGAGAAATTCGTGAAAGAGATCCTTAAGTAACGTCTCGTCTTTCTAGTCTTAGAGTACTATTCATACAAACGGCAGTTCAAAAACATATCAACAACGATGGCAAGAGTAATAGAGAAGCGTACTGACGAACGACACTGTCGAGCGAAAGATGTCAGTTGATACCAATAGCATTTCTAATAATTAACATTCTGATATTCTCTTTCATCGAAACT